ATAATAATAATAATAATAATAATGTCTTTATTTTTGAAAATTGTGCGCAAAGCAAAATACAATTTCACCTACATAAGGCGAAGTCTAGCCAATGGCTACTCTACTTAACCTTATAAATAAAATCTAATTGATATTAAACAATGCGTTGTAAAAAGGAATACAAAAATAAAATAAAATGTTACAGGAGCATAATTATTAAAATTACAATATTAAAATTAATTGACAATAACAAAATTTAGAAAAAATTGATATAAAAGATAAAATAGGTTAGTCATACTATAAAACCAGACACACAAAAAACAATTATCACAACAAAGGCAAGCAAGTTACTGCATTTTGAGAAAATGCAGTTTACAAATTTTTTTTAGAAGTGTTAGGTTTTTAAAATTGTCTAAACTGTTGTAGATTGTGACAGCGTTATAAGAAAACGACCTACGAAACATGGATGTCCGATATCTCGGTAATGAAAGCAAACCAGCAGACCGTACATTAACAGAGTGGAGATTTTGTCTAAAAATTAATTTTTGTCGGAGGTATAGGGGTTCAGACGTATTTATAATTTTGTGAACAAAAACAGACATATGATATTTAAAAAGATTATCTAACTTTAGCCAACCGAGTTCCCTTATTTTATTCGAAACGTGATCATATTTCCTTAAGCGGTATACAAAACGGCAACAAAAATTTTGAATTTTTTGTAGACGATTTTTTGTTTGACTATCTAAAAAGGCAAAGTAAACAATATTCCCACAATTCAATAATGGAAGTACGTATGCTTCAATAAGTTTTTTCCGAACATTGAAATTCATGATATGAATGTTCATATATAAAGTCTTTATGGTGACATAACATTTCCTTATTAACTTTGAAACGTGTTCTTTAAAACGCAAAGATGTATCCAAAATAAAACCTAAATTTTTTACTACATATGATACCTCTAAAATGTGATTATTTATATGTACATATTTTTAAATTTTCAAAGATATTCTCCACAATAATTTTAGAACAGAAGCAGATGATCGTACATTTATCGAAGTTTAATTTTAAGTTATTATTTTGAGAGTATTTTTATAGATTATTCGGTGTTTATGTGATCACAAGCATATTTTATATTTTTTGGTTTATAAGAGTAAGATAATTGAATGTCGTCAGCATAACACTGCATTTCACTATATCTGATAGAATGAAAAATATCTGCAGTATATATCAAAAATAGTACCGGTCCTAAAACTGATCCCTGGGGAACACCAGAAGTTATAGGAGCGATATCTGAAAATACAATATTAAATAAAACTGTCTGTCGACGGTTAGACAAGTAAGTGTTAAAGAAATTTAAAGAACTTTCATCAAAGCCATAGTAACGCAGTTTAGCACATAAAAGGGAATGATCGAGAGTATCGAATGCTTTGGAAAAATCAAGCAAAATTAATGCTGTAACATCTTTATTGTCTAAAGATCGTAATGCATTATCTAAAATATTTGCTAAAATTGCCGTAGTACTGTGATTCTTGCGGAAACCAGACTGACAAGAAGGAATAATTTTGTTTACAATTACATAATTATATAATTGAGATTGGATAACTTTTTCCAATACCTTCGATAAAGTGGGAATTATAGTAATTGGACGTAAATCACAAAAATTTTCTGGATCATTCTTTTTCGCAAGAGGTTTGATGATAGATAATTTCCAAATATCAGGAAAATAGCCAGTTTCTAGGCAACAATTTATTATATGTGTCACATGTTTGGATATGGTTGGTAAACAAAATTGCAACATAACAGCATTTATATTATCACTGCCATAGGCGTTTGTTTGACTTAAGTTGATTGATTAGGTTACTAATCTGTTCTATCGTTACCAATGAAAATTTGAATAGCATACCACCACCAAACCTATTGCAACTGTACCATTTTGTATTATTTTGGAAATTATCTCTAGGGCTAAACACTGTAGAAAAATATTTATTTACCTCGTTAGGTTTCTGAAGATGAGTAGGAATATGTACATTATGACTATGTTTTAGATTTAAGTTCTTTACTGAATTTCAAATATCTATAGATGAGTTCTTTTCATGAACATTTAAATATGCAGTTTTCTCACGCCTGATTGCATTCACTGTATAATTGCGTATTGATGTCCATTAAGACGTAATTCAAAAACATATGGACCACTATTCCTGCCTATACATTAATTCATGTAAAATAAATGTAAATTATAGGAATTAAGAATTAAGAACTTGTTTTGTTTTCAATTATGTGTAAAATCAAATTTTGTTAGTGAAAATTACATTAACAGACAGTAAGATTTTCTAGGCTCTTATTTTAAAAATATGTAGGGTTCTAAAATAGTAATTATCTCCAATTAAAAATTAAAAATAAAAAATGGTGGAGGCGCCGCTCGATGTGCGCTGTGACATAAAATCACAAATATTTCCTAAACTGTTAATTTTATAAAATTGTATTGGCAAATTATGCACGGAACTTATTTTTAATACAGGCAGATTGCGATCGTCATCTATGCAAAAATTCTGGGTTGTTAACCATTGGGCATATTCCGTCCCTGGCGTTCTGGTCATAATGAAGTTTCACTTACAACATCAAAAATAAACTGTACACATGTGTTATCGAGAATCAAATTTGCGTTATGCTGAAGTTAATGGTTTAGAGACTAAATAAAAATAACTTTTTAATATTCACCTTTGCGGGCTCGTAACTTTTCAACGAAGGCAGTATGAAAGAAATTTATATGAAGAACTGGTATTATTTTTACCTCATTTATTTGTACTCGATCAAGTACCAGGACACCCTGTTTACATAGTTCGCTGTTTTATGTCTATTTTAATTATTTTATTAGATACTTATATCTATACCACTTCAGAAGATGAATTTGCGGACCTTAATATATCAATTATTCCATTTTCAAAGAGGCTTAATTGTGTGGCGCTGTTTCTAGCTATGTGTAGGAAATGCCAGCTATCAGTCTATCTGAAATATGGTTATAACAGAGAACATCTTCAAACATTTACTGCAACGGTAAGAGGTTTTTATTTTTACTTATTTTCTTCAGAAGCATTTGGAATTTAATTTATTTTAAAAAGTCTTACACATAATTATTACATACTTCATGCCAGTATTAAGTTGTGGCCTACTTTTTAAGACAATTTGTAACATAATTAATAACCTCGAAGGATGTTATGGATAAGGATTTAATAATATATTATTTCAAATATCAGACTAGTTCAAAAATTACTTCCAAATATTTAGGACGTTTTTACCACATCTATAGTCAGCCACAAACCTTCCTAAACAACACTACAAGATTGAGATTTTTCAATATAATTGAGCTGTTGCCCTTTTTGCCCTTGGAAGGGCAGAGAGACCTTTTTTGACATCGGATTTATGTTTAGCGCCCAAGAATACATAGGGAAATACAACTTACACTTATTTTTCCAAGATAATTGCGTTTTTGTACTTTTTCTCAATTTTTTGCCAAAAAAAGGGCATCAGATATGTGTTTAGCACCCAAAAATAGGCACATAGGAAATCAGTCACCTAGGTTAAAATAGGGATAGAACCGGTATTCTTCATATTTATCAAAGATATCATTAATTGCTTAACTGCATATTCAATATAGAAGAGATCTAATCTGCGATTACAAAAAAAAACACTAAACGAAGAAAATTTTTTGACTTCAGCAAATCAGAATCTATAAGAAATGATGTCTGATTTAAAAACCAAAATTCTTTTTTTTTGTCGGCCTGTGTTATCTACTTTATCGGTTGCAATATAAGAGCTTAGATTTAGCAGGATATTTTTTATGTTTGTTTTCGAGTACTTACTGTCGTGACAATTTAACGACAGTCGTTGCGACAAAATCAAGAGAGCGTAGCTCGAACTACGAAAGTAAGTACGAGAAAACAAAAATAAAATAATATCAGGCTCAAAGTTTAATCTCGAATGGTATTTGTTAAAATTTAATGAATGCTATTTAAAAGTACAGAATCAAAAGACAATGAACGCGTACTAGTAATAAACAGAGTATTATTAAAAAATTATTATTAAAAACACAATTATTGTAAATAATTTGCTCTGTTGATGTTGACTTTATTAATGATTCTCTTGTGGATTCTGATTGTATGGCTGATTTTGAATGAGCTGTTGACATTGACTCGTTATTCAAATGTTTATTTCGGAGATTTGTTACAAGATTTTTTGATCGTTGAATTTTTCTAAAAGGATGGGAGTTAGAAAAATTTTATAAAATAATCTTACTGGACAGATATTAGGATTTTATATATTTTTCATTGACCATTTACTATCGCAACACTTTTTTAAACCACTTTCACGTTTTTGAAAACACTGTATTGTATCCAATGCGACCAGTTAACCCTCCATTATTAGATTTTTCTTCCTTAAAAAAATATATTTTGCAAGTTGCTGACACACTTCCTCGCCAATTTAGTCCGTATGCATCAATATGAAAAATTTTTTTCAAAAGGTCTGTAGGTGTATTTTCATCCCATATTAATGACATTTTAATAACCTCACTTTGCGATAGTAGGTAAAGTCTTTCCGATGTCAGTTGAACATGTAAAAAATGCCTGGCAATAAAATTTAATGAGTTTCATAGACGTCCCTAAAAAAGATTTCTGATAAAGGTAAAAAATAATTTGTATATAATGTGCAGAAAATTTCTATTATATGTTCATTTGGCCAACAATATATTTTAATTATTTATGTCCTCAAACAATTTTATTATATTGAATGTAAATATCGTTTTATTCCGTTTTAAAAGGTCTCGAAAATGCCATGTTGTAATGATATTATTTCTCCCTTTCGCAATTGTAATATCAATGATTAATAGGTGTCTATAATAAATTAAAATTACATGAATCACACCAAATTCCGCATTGCTGCACTGCACTGCTGGGCAATTTCCCAACCACTTGTCAACAGCTGAGATGTATTGCCCAGTGGCCCAATGCAACTGTATTTGTATTTCGTTTGCCTGCACTTGTATTCTTCAACTGGGCGTATACATTTCTACCACCTCCACGTTTAGTTCGACCAGACCTTATATAGGTATGGCTAAATAAATATGGGAACAAGTTTTTCAAATATTTCAATGCGAAGTTGCGGAGTCAGCGACCGATCCTGGTACATACTGTCATCCTCTTGGTTCTTCAATTGATATCGCAAAGACAACGGTACTCTTTTTGCATATTTCGAAATTATTTATATAAATAGCGCACTCTTATCTGATTTATAGTCACTACTCTTACTTTTATTCTAAAAATAATTTTATATGCCTTAATGCAGACTCTAAGGAGACTGCAATAAAAAGGATTATAGTAGACCAGGCTAGACTCCAAATCCCGGCTCCGAATTGTTCTTCCCTGGACAATATGCCTGTGTAGAACAGCTATTCGCTGGTATCGCCACCTAGCGGTTTTATAGCTACAACCTCTGTCGGAAATTTAAAGTGACAGTACTGAAAGTGTATATGCCAAATACAAATGATAGTTAATACTTTTTATTTAATTAATATAACAAAGAAATTATTAGATCGTAATCTATGAATAATATCAGTAAGTAAACAATTTTATTCATTATAATTATTATTTTTAAGATTTTGCACTTCATTTTTTGATTATGTTGACTGCGAATATTAGAATAGGAGAATTTTCCCTCCAAAATTTAATTATACTTGCAATAAATCAACAAATGATTAAAAATATGGTTTAAATAGCAATATTCTTTCTTTATTTATTTATTTTTCTAGTTTTGGAAAAATGATTATTTCAATCAAACAGTGATCAAATGACTACTACAAATTACACGACTTTTTTTAGGTAACCATCCTGGCCCATGATTAAATGCTCTACCTATAACAACATAAAATTTTAATTATTATTTAGATAGATTTTAAACATTAATTTTAATCCACATGTCACAACTTACATTTTCAATCAATGTCAATTTTAAAATTGAAGGTTATATTTACTTACTTTTTTCTAATTGCATCAATCCATTTTTGTCGTTGACCCAGTTTATGATTAGCTTTAGGGAATTTGTAAAATACACAGTCACTATTATAACCAGTATTTTTATAATTTTTGATACAACAACTTGTGTGTCCCATTTAAAAATATCCTTATGCAGAAGGTTTTTAAATTTCCGACCTAAGTTCACTAAGTTGACGGTACTAGCGCTCGCAAATGTTTGACTATCCACTCTACCTACTTGCTCACAGCGAATACCTGGATTGTCTTGGCAATTGCTCTTAACTTCCATTCAGATAATGTCTTGCTTTTTACACACAGCTTTGTATTTATAAATGCATAATTAAAAATATCAAAAAATGTTTCAGTTTTTTTGTGAAATACGGTTTTTACAATCGTTACTTGAACAAGATGCATCAGTTTGTAGAGAAACATCATTTATTCATAAAATTTCATTAATAGAGTTAACATAATAACCAGAATATAAATGTAATGTATAAAGTTGCACGATAAACATGTGTGCATGGGGAACCGCGGAAATGTGCAGGTAGAGATGTTTTAAAATCTTATGAGCTTTGACCTTCATATGCGCAGAAACATAATTCCGACCGTCGCCTAAATTATTCTACGTCCTAAAAACATTACACCTATTATTCACAGTCTCTCTCGAGCTCTAGCGTAAACAAGCCTTTGATCCGATTACAAATATCATAATAAAATGCCCTATTCTTTATTATTTTAATTAAAACAATAAAAATATATATAACGAACGTTCGCCAGTTGACTTTATTGATGCCCGAGCGCCTTAGTTCATTTCTAGTTGTAATCAGGCACGTGTTCTAATTCTGAGTCATGTTTTCACAACGTGCTTATTAGAAGAATTATGGGGATACGCCACGCCTTTCGCGCATTTCGCGGCTCATGAGATATTAAAAGATCTCTACATATCATCTGCTTTGCGCCCGTCACGTCGATATCCAGCAGATCATAAAGTACCGGTAATAAAAGTGTCACATACCTGCATTTCATTTCCAAAGTCTATGCAAGCACGCGGTTACTGTACCTTTAAGGAGCCATTTGTTTTTATTGACGTGCAGTGAAAACGATTCGGACCCGGAGTTTGGGGCCTAGCCTAGTACACTATATAAACCTTTTTATTGCAGTCTCCTTAGAGTCCGCATTAGGCAAATAAAATTATTTTCAGAATAAATTGTGCATTCCAGAGTTTGAGAAAAAAATAAGTGTATCAAGATTAGCGACTACAAATCAGATAAGAGTGCGCAATTAATTTTTATATCAAGTTAGACTTGTATGAATAAAATCGAATAATTTTTAGTAACAATAAACATTTTTATACTTATATTAAGATAACTATACACTATTTTTTTTATAATTTGTTATTTCAAAAAACATTGAGTAATGTACGTGTTGCAGCACACTGCATATTATTCTATTTTTTTAATTAACAATTTTGTCGTTTATAACAGTAAGTTAAGAAAATTAATTGAAAAATGTTCAATGAAAAAAATAAAATAAACAGTGACGTGACGTGAACGATATAAGCATTCTGAGGCGGCTCATGCATTTCTCGGTTGACCCGTTTGGCACGCCATTGAATTGCGGTTCTCTCTGACAGCATTATTCATAATGCTCCATATGCTACTTGCATTACGTAGAGAAACAGGTTTTATTAAATATTTAGTACTAATTTTAAGGAGCAATTTTTCAGTGCCTTACAATTCCCTAAAGATGTGTAAAGTAATCAAAAACAGTTGAATCAATTGTAAGGTAAGTAGGTACAGGCATATATTTAAAAAAAAATTACTGTAAAAAATACCTAACGTGGACTCGTAAAACTTTTTCTTACATTATTTTCCGAAAAATGCACCATTCAGAAGGATCAATTTACCATTATGAGGAAAAAACACTTTAAAGAATCGTATAATTCTTAAGAATCGTTTCTATTTGTCTTTTAATACAACCACAAGCAATATAGCGTATCGCCACAGACTGCTTCTTAAATGCTGGAAATTGGCAACCCGAAATGGATGCAGGCTTTTGTTAGCCGGCTTCCATCAATGAAATTTAGCGTGGTAACTCTTCTACTTGGTAATAGGCGGCAGTTCCAGCGGTGGCTTTGTTGCCAAATAGTAACTGCTAAATAAATTTAATGCTTTCAGTTATGTAATTAAAGAGATATGGAACTTATCTTCTGTTTGGAAATCACCTTTGCCTTAAATGCTAAATAAAATAAATCAAGTTAGAATTAAAACTATGAATTTACCTAATTAATTATTTATTTTATATCACCTTGGAATGGGAAAATTAAAAAACTCGGAATTAATGTTTTTAGATTTGTGCGTCGACTTCCAATATGGTACGTTATTAACACCTATGTTTAAAAAAATTGCATTATACAGGTTGTGTATCCTTAGATGGGTAGGTACTGCTCTGTTATTGTTGATTTCTTTACATAGGTAAAATAATTATTGACACAAGTGTTGCATATCATGGATGACATTGATAGTGCTCATATTTGTGACATAAGGTGTTCAAAAAAATTGACACAGTGTAAAGTTGCTGGAACCTCAAGGAGTAGTTGCATACGAAATTTATTTAAAAAAAAACAACAAATCATCAATCAATACAGAGATAAGATAATGCGTTCGCTATTGCTGTTGCAATTTTTGATAAACTTTTTTGTTTTTCGACATACTGACTTCGGACCTTTTCCATTCAACGCAGAACGGACAATCAGAACCAGAGGAGCGGTGAGATTTTTTTAATTATTTTTTCAATTCAACACACCGTTTCCGAATTATAAGACCTTTTTTACTGTATCACCTCACACACCTCTTCTTTCCGAAATTTATTTTCCACATACGGACTTCGGACCTTTTCCATTCAACGCAGAACTGACATACAGAACCAGAGGTGTGGGGAAATTTTTTCAATTATTTTCGATGTAACGCACCGTTTCCGAGTTATACGGCCTTTTTACTGTAACACGTCACACACCTCTTGTTTCCAAACTTTATTTGTTGAGATTTTTCAATTATTTTTTCGATTCAACACACCGTTTCCGAGTTATAAACACTTTTTTATCCTAAGATGTCGCACACCGTTGGTCCTGATTTTTTTTCTGACATGCGGGTTTTGACGTTTTTCACTCATTCACCATGGAAGATTTTTTGATAGTTTTTTTTTTCTTTCATATATTGTGACACCCCGCTCTGCGTCACCCACCGAGTGCTCTACTCAGAACCAAGGAGTTTGTTTATATTTCCAGCCATTTCCGAGTTTACGAGCAAAAACCGTTTTTTTTTTCTTATACTGTGTGACATCATAGATCGATAACGATAGACGCTCCCTCCCTAGGTGTCCTGAAATTGCTGGGGATTCTCCTGAAGCCAGCAGAGAGAGAGAGAGAGAGAAGCCCTCTATGAGGACAGAGTCACTCTATCTCTATCGCACAGAATCAGACAAAAACGACAAAAACGAACCTTCTTTTAAAAATACATGGGATTTATCATTATTAGAATAACCCATTTTAATTTAAGAAATTAAAAAAATTACAATGGGTTATACTGATGACGAAAAATAAAACATAATTAACTGTATTATTCAAATAACAATAATGTGCAAAAGTTCTTCAGAAATATTGGCAAATTTATTTTGGAGGAAGAATCCCGTCAACGAACACTAAAAAATATTATTAGAAACTTTAGGTGGCCAGAAAACAGCCCCGATCTCATTGTCAGTTCTTTAGACATATTTTGTTTAGACCTGAAAATTTACAAGTATTGAAAGAAAAACAGGACGAAATGCTTGATAATTTTGAATTTGTTTTTAAAGCAATTAATAGTAAATTAAAACATATTTTCAACTGTATCATCACAATTACTTGCATGTTGATTTGTAAAAATTGTAGGTATTTTAATGTTATTTCGTTTTTATGTATTCTCCTTATGTTGTTGTAAAGGTTAGTTATAAAAATCGTTGTTTGTTATTTTCATAAGGATGAATTTTATGCCAGCAAATTTTGATGTCAAATGAAATAAAGGAAAAGTCGTACATTTGTATTTAAAGTTTCATTATATCTTTAATTATTAAACCTATAAGTGGATGTCAAAATACAAAAAAAAACCTGCACCTACGTTCCGCGACGTACTAATAACCCACCTTGTATATTAAATAAATTTATCGTCATCATCAAATATTAAAAAAATTATATTACAAGCTGTTTAAAACATCACTTCGAATTTTGTGTATTTGGAAATATATTTTCTGCAGTATTTCAAGACCAAAAAATGAAAATAGTAGGTACCTAATTAACGAAATTATGATTAAATAACTTAATTGTACCATCGCTGCAGAATATCATATGAAACTACATAGATATTCGCTGATTCTGTAAAAACATTTTTATCAATACCTACATCATATATTTAAGTAAATACAGTAACGCAAAAAACAGATATTGATAAAAAAGTGTACAAAAGAAATCGGTAAGTACGCCTGGCAACATTACCAAAGTCTTGTTTATATGTTGCTAGGATACGCGTAGGTATGCGGGTCGCTGCATTGGATTCTTCCTAAAATTCTGCTGGTGGTATACTCTACCGGCAATTCAAAAATTTAAAACTGCTGGCCTATTCCAGTAGCGGTCTGTGGCGATAGCTATTTTGTCTGTGATACAAATAATTAAAATATAAGCTTATATACTAAAACCGCTGTATCTTTTCCATTGCGTCACAAGCAATATTCGTATGAACTAAGACGAAAAATCCTAGTCAAATTAGTCACTATTTGCATATAAATGAAATGTCATCTTGACAATTCCCAAATCTGGATATCTCGCAAATTTTAATACTGGTGTTACTGGATACGAAAATATGCAAACAATCGATATTTCAACGCTCGGAAAATATACCCAACAGTTAGGTACCGAGATGCGATCAAAACAGCTGTTAAAATTTTAATCTGATTGTTAGTCTAAGAGCCAGTATGTCAACTTTGTTTTAAATGCGGTAGTCAAACTATAGTCTAAAACTAATACCCAACAAACGTCCTCCATTTTCTTTCACTCTAATACACATAAAATATTGGAACGATTGTCTGTGATAGACTGAGACTATGAAGACATTTATGTATTGTATCTCTTTTTGACGTATAACAAATAATTAATTCAGGCCCGTAACGACTGTCTTTGATATTAGGACACACTCTTGACGTAATGGCAATCTTAAAACGGTTCTACTATTTCTATCGTCTACTGGTGCACCATTTTTTGTTTTTAATTTTTAATTGGATATAATTACTATGTTAGAACCGTACATATTTTTAAAATAAGAGCCTAGAAAATCTTACTGTCTGCTAATGTAATTTTCACTAACAAAATTTGACAAATACACTTTATACGTAACACAAAATAAGAAAATGAAACAAGAATAAGTTAAAGTAAGTTAAAAAAATAATTTAAAAGAAAGAAAACTATCATAATACATTTTCAATATGGGCACATTCCAGCTCCACACAGTTCGTAAGTCTACGAATGTTATTTATTTGTACACGAAAAAGCATTTCTGGGGTATGTCTAATAATATCACAATGGAAATTAATTCTTTGTAGCAATTCATCCCTTGTCTGTACTGGGGTTGCGTACACTAAACTTCCCGACGGAAGAAGTCCATCGGGTTAAAGTCTGGAGAACGTGGTGGTCATGAAATTGAGCCTCATCCTCCAATTCATTTATAATTAAACATAATGGATAAATAATTTCGTACATCAATATTGAAATGGGGAGGAGCCCCATCGTGCATTAATCTAAACGTTTTTTTGGGTGTCTAATCGAACATCGTCTAATAGTGGCTGCAAATTATTTTGGAAAAACTCCAAATATCGATGTCTATTCAGACGTGCCTCAAAAACGTATGGTCCTCTTAAATTATTACCCCTTTTCGTTTACAAACAAATAACATTCGTAGCCTTAGGAAGTGTGTGAAGGTGGAACGTGCCCATATTGAAAATGTATTTTGATAGTTTTCTTTCTTTTAAATTATTTTTTAACTTACTTTAATTTATTCTTGTTTCGTTTTTCTATTTTGTGTTATGTGTAATGTGCGGTTGTCAAATTTTATTAGTTAAAATTATATTAGTAGACAGTAAGGTTTTCTAGACCCTTATTTTAAAGATATATACGGTTCTAACATAGTAATTATGTCCAATTAAAAATTAAAAACAAAAAATGGCGGAGGCGCCGCTTGTGCACTCTGACATAAAATCACAAATATTTCCTAAACTGTTCATTTTACCGAGTTGAACCAAATTTTTCAAGGAACCTATTTTTTATGCAGGCAGGTTGCGATCGCCATCTATGCAAAAATTATGAGTTGTTAATTATTGGGCATAGTCCGTCCCTGGCGTTCTGGGCATAATGAAGTTTCATTTACAACATCAATAACAAGCTATACGCAGGTGTTATCGATCACCAAATTTGCATCATGCCGAAGTTAATAGTTTAGAGACTGTAAATAAAAATAAATTTTAATTTTCACCTTTGAGGGCCCGTAACTTGTCAACGGAGGCCCGTATGAAAAAAAATTCTATGAAGAACTGATATTATTTTGACCTCATCTATTTGTACTCGATTTTTTTGTATCAAGTACCGGGGCACCCTGTATACTACGTGTACCTATACCATTTATTTGAATGGTGAAAGAAAATCGGTAACGTTATGTAAAATTTTTGTAGAACTGTCATACAATTCGAAAATTATTGTAACAAAGAGGCGAAAAATTGGTACCAAATAACTAATGAATAATGTTTAAATTTTTAGGATGAGAAATGGAAACAAGTAAAACTGTTTTTCAAATTAGACGAAAGAAAAATATTTCAGTTACGACTATACTTCTATACTCAAGATGTTTTTACTTCTGCAAGTCACAAGTTATTTTGGGCTATTGACAGCTTAAGGCAATGTGAAGATAATGGTGCTGTTAAATGCATAGAACTTTAATACATGATTAATATTTTCTATTTTAGAATACAGGATATTGCCATCTTCAATTGATCACGCTCCTTGTCAGTTTTTTGCAAATAATTATTCCGTTTCTATCGATGCAACTGAAGAAATCACTGATCTAAGTAAGTATTCACGTACTTTATTTAAGTGCTTGCTGATAGAATAAAAGAGGAAAATTATTTAAAATTCATTACATACTTTTCCAAGGATAATGTATCATTGCACTTAGACCTAAAGATATAAAAACTACATTTGTTATATTTTTATATCAATTATAAATATCTAAAAGACTTAGTTGAGAAAGTAAGACAAGTCAGAACTGAGCCCCGGGACATAGGCGTACGCATTATTTATTAAAAAGCAACAAGCAAATTGTCCACAATACACCACCATAAACACCAACGGATAGGAATTAATTACGCAACATTCTAACGATAACAAAAACAACAGTAGTTAGTGCTAAAAAACAGAAAATTTGTCAACAATTCATACTACTCCGACTAAAAAAGAACAAATTTACCGGTTAGTTTTAATTGCCAGTGTTGCGAGAAACAACTACTCCGAGGGCTATATGCCCCTACCGGCATTGAATTATACTCGCATCGCCTAGTGCAACAGCTAGAATCGTTCGTCAGTTTCGTCGTGACGATACGACGCAAAACAGCTGGTTCGTTCGTCGGTTGTCTCACCTATGACACACTGATGAGGACTAATATGTCCGAAACCGGTCTGTGCCTGGTAGGTTAAACTGACGAACGATCCTAGCTTTTGCACTAGGTGTTGCGAGTATAATTCAATACCAGTAGGGGCATATAGCCCTCGGAGTAGTTGTTTCTCGTAACACTGACAATTAAAACATTGTCTTCGCCCTCTGTGGGTGGCAGTCGTGTAACAAGTACCTGCAATTAGCAGGTCGCTTCCTACTGTGGCCATTTGAATGACACAGTTCGGAGTCAGCACGACAGATGGAGCCATTTGCGCTCCCGCGTACAATTACCGGTCAGTAGGTATAAAGTTATTAACATGTAAAAACTATTCAAGTGGAAAACAAAGTAGAAATATATTCTTTGGAATAGAAAAAGGAAAATATTGGGTTCTAGAAATACCTATTTAAGCTGCTCCTTCGTTTAAATGTTTGTTTTGTATTTTTTTTTATAAAATTAGTAAAAAAGGCAAGGAATAATAGATTATGTACTCAGATCAGCATCACAGCTTTATCAATAATAAATTTGACCAACAAAGCGGCACTCAAAACATGTACATTTCAAGTACATGTGGTCATAGGGAAAGTTAAATAACGAACAATACTTTCTTTTACTAAAAAAATATAAACAACAATGTATTCAGTATATATTTTGTATATGTCTAAAAACATTTAAAATAAATATTAATAACCCTAAAGTAATAAGTATTAAACAGTATAAACGTATAAACACATAAAAAAACTGGCAAAAACCAGAAGACTCAATTTATGTTTGATTTAATATTCATAACGATTGCATGTAACCTACCATTTTATATAGTAAATAATAAAATATTTCATTCCTACTGGAATAAATACAATCCCAAGAGGAAATTACCATGTGGAACCAGCTTGGAAGTAAACTATTTAATTATGCAAATATGACATCAGTAGATGTCGAACGGTCGTTCTCTTCAGATTAAGATATTTTATCACCGCCGCGAATACGTTTCGTTGAAAGAATGGTAGAAACATACCTGATGATGCGATCTATAATGGATCCCATCCAGATTGTGGAACCGTTGGCAACGATGAGTAAAACAATTTACGTGTTTCACAATGATACAATGACATCAATCTTATAATGTTCATTTTATTTTATGCTGATGATCCGCACGCCTTTGGTCCGCGGCCAATTATGACAGCTCTATTCATATGTGACAATTTTTATAAAAAAAACAATGCCTTTTGAGTATTTGTGTATTTACTGAGTAATAATTTAATAATTTGAGCTGGTTCAATTGTCCGCTTACCAACGGTGTGTGAATCATAGTAGGTACGTAACACAAAATAAAGTACACAATAATAATTATTGCAAGATTTACTTCATTCAAATTTCAATTTACTTCAAATACACAAGTTGTTTTACGCATTTCGATCATTATTCGCCGTGATGCAAAAATGTTTTTATTTGAAGCAACCGTTCGACATCTACTGTTATCTACTAAACAAGGTTTTTTTATTCATATGCCAGTATAGTATATACAAGGTGTCCCACCTCAGAAATCGCCACTATCCATATCTCGGAAGGTATTGGCAACCTGAAAATTTGACAATCTAGAAACAGCAATAGTAGGGCAAACATAGCTAAAATATTTAGAACGTTATGGTATTTCCTGTTATACCGGATGTCGCCATTAACTTTCTTATTTTAAATGGGACACCCTATATATTATTGCATTTTTCGATTCTACTTGAAATTTAAGGGTCACTTTATTAAATATAACCTATATCTAGCAGTTATAGATTTTGAGATATTAATTTTTCACGAAAAAATGCAAAGGTCCGCAGATATGCTAGTTAGTAACTCTTTTCAAGAGTGTGATAACATGTGGATTTTTGGTAAAGTGCCATAGGTAACATTAAATAAGGGTATACCAACAAATTAAAACATTTAATACTAGGTGGTTTATTTTTGCTATTACGTGTCGATAAATTTAAACAGCTATGTTAATTTAATTATAATGCACAAAAAAATATATTAAAAAGGAAAAAGACAGTAACAAAAATCGAAATAGTTTATACATTGAAATCCAGTTTTTCATATTTAATAAACTTTGTTTTTATACTTAAAGGGCATGCTAATTATTCCTTTATAATTTCAGAGCGAAAATGTCCAGAGAATACATTTGGAGAAAACTGTGTACCGTGTACTGTAATAGGTGGAAATGTTTGCCCGCCACTTAAATACTGTGAATTAATTGAAAATAAAACATCTTGTTACTGTACTCCTGGATTCCATGGTCCGTCTTGTGATAATGGTAAGTTGTTCAGTCATAATTAACATCGATTTCTTCAAACCAATATTTAATAGAGGAAGCTATTAATATTATTCGTTCTAAATACAATTTTGATAGGATGCGTTGCTCCATTTAAATCAAAGGCTTTGTAACTTATTTCATCTGTCCTGAAGAAGTTAACATATTATTATGTGAAATGTCGGTTAGTTCAATAGTATATTATGCAACGATCATGTAATGATGGTTATTAATACACGAGCGTTAACTGGGATACGTAACGAGCCGAAGGCGAGTTTCGTATGGTTTATGCGAGTGTATTAATAACCATTACATGAGAGTTGCATACGCTATTTTTTCTACACCCGATAAATAATCAAAAACCATAAATTTTATATTTTTATTGAACACAATAGGTAACAGTAATTATTCGTATTTCTATAAAAAAAATCTACAAAATTGTAATTAATACCTCGGGTATTGGTATTGCCATAGATACAAGAAAACTATAAACATTTTATTTGTATTTATATTCAACATATAATAATTGTAATTAATCCGATTTCTTAAAAATATTAAGATTATTTATTGTGCAGTTTGAAAAGTTTATTCCAGGTCCCACTGATCTGGAAGTGGAAGGAATATTTACATTTATTTCATTATTGCTAGTCTCAATAGAGTTCAATATTGTATTGGAAATGCTGATTTTATTCTGAACCGAATTTTCAATGTAGCCTTCTGCCACTGAATTGGATTTCCAGCCACCATGGCGTTTTAATGTAGTAATATCACCACCGGCATCTACTAATACGGTTGCAGATGTCCTACGAAAACAATGCCCTGTATATAAATTCGGATCAGGCAGATTTAAATATGTTGCTATTTTCTTCCCTATATCACCAAATTTATTAATACCAATGTTTTGAATTGTGCATTTTCCATTTAAATAATTAACGAAAAAAGATGGGGTGGGGCAAATTTTAGGCCGTAGATTCATATATTTTTTACTAATTTCGTAGTATTTGCCGGTAATTGTAAATGTTCGTTGTACTTTTGTTTTAGTTTCTATCACATTAACAATTAAGATTCCATTCATATCTTTGACATTTTCACATTTTAGGTCATGTAGTTCATGCCTTCGACATGCTCCCATTATTCCAAAAATCATTGCTACCTAAAAAAAAAAAAAATAATAAATAAAGAGAAGAAAAAAAAAGAAAAAAAAAAAAAGCAGGATGACCTAGGCTCGTTTCGAACCCGGATCTCATACTGTGTCTAGTCCAAATTGAGCGCCTTAACCCGCTCGGCCACGAGTTCAGTTCACGAGTTTGCTCGAAATTAATAAAATATACCTATCATGCATGAGTCGAATGGAAAATGTAATCATGAAATTTTTTTAAAAATGCAATGTTAGATAGATACTTACTTTTAAAAATAAAAACCGTTCATCGGGTGCTTCGTCGATAAACGTTTTTATTTGTTCAGGTGAAAATATTTTTGCTTTTTTTCCAACATATCCTTCGGACTTTCGCTTTAATAAAGCTTGTAGTTTCTTATATTTAGAAATGTTTATATTATGGTTTATATTTACCAACGTTTTTATTATTGAATAATGTGTCCATGTACTAGATGATTTCATAGTTTCCATCAATTCTTGAAAATAAGCAATTAAAACATTTTCGGAGAATGTCGAAATATTATTTGTATTTCTCCAGTCCATAAACCGTTGATAAAGTTTTTCGTACACTTTCTTAGATTTTTGGGGTAAAATATTTTGAACTGCATTTTCTGCTTTCTCCGATATGTGTGGAGGAGTCGATGGTAATTCTTCTATATCGCTGATATCAGACATTTTGATAAATTATCGAAGTTTAGCTAGGTATCTACGAAAATTTAATACGTACTGATTTTGACATCTAAAATAATTACATAGGAACCTAGGATAAACGTCAAATGCACAGCATGCTTGATTGAAAAATTATGGGTTTCTATTGATTAAAAATCTGTATCGTAATGAAAAATCTGTATCGTAATGGGTATCATTATGAAACGGATTATGGGCATATAAGTGAATTGTTATAATACGGGTGTAGAAAAAATAAATTTTGTGATTGATTAAACCTAAATCGGTGTTCTATCTCTGGGATTCCGGTTGGTCTTGCAAAAATAACACTACAAGTTTATATTAACATTACCACCATGTAGAGTTATTAGCTTTTGAAATTGGGAGGGGTAAATCGATTTTTCGTTATATTTTTAATTTTAATTGAACTTGGGTAATTTTTGGACGAAAGCTTTATTACTTGTAGCTGTTTCTTTTAAACTATTCAATTTACTAATAAGTAGCCATTGTTAAATATAACACGTTAACATAAATAGCCTCACACAACTACAAAATTATCCAAATTTAATTAATGTGAAGCAAACGAAAAATTGATTTTCAACCCTCAACATCAAGGGCTAATAACACATTAGGGTTCTGATTAAAAAATATATATAACACCATTTCCTGCATGCTCTGTATACACATAAAAAATACTCATGTATCCTGAAAACGTGTAGAAGTTTATATTTTCCAATTACGTATTATATTATAATACAAAACTAGTACTTTTTCTTTATTTATTCGTTATTCATTTATTTTCTTTTTATGACAATAAAGTTATTGTATAGGAATGGTCATAATAAAAAATCTTAGGTCTAATACTTAAAACAAAAAAAAAATACACACATTCAAAACACATTGCACACATTACACATTACATTACATTAAAATATTCCTCTAGAGAATAAAAACACTTTTCTTTCAGAACGTCTGTCAAACTCTTTTTAAATGCTGTTTCGGTAGTACTTTGTTTTATATTTATTTGTCGGTAACAAATTAAATATTCTAGGCCCTATAAATCTGGTTGACTCACTAGTAATTTTTAATCTAGCAAAAGGCTCATACAGCTTATCCTTTCGTCTAGTATTCACACTGTGATAATGGCTATTCCAAGCAAAAATATTCCTATTTTTAAAAACATACATACTTATCTCAAATATATATATGCAGGGCAATGTTAAAATTCCAAGCTTCTTAAATATAGGTCTACAAGACTGATTACTTAGTGCCCCAGCAATACACCGTAAAATCCTTTTCTGAGCAATAAAAACATTAGAGTGTAATGCCCCAGAAACAGATACCTTAAACGTGAGTCAATTTGTGCAAAATATAACATTCTAATATGTCTCTCATTTATAAATGGTCTAATATTTCGAAATAAATATGTCAAAGAAGACATTTTCGATATCAAAACTTCACAATGGTACTTCCAACATTCATCTAAGTGAATTCCAAGAAACTTAACAGTTTCGTTATATTTAAGTTTAGTGTTAGTAAGATTTATATCCAAATTGTCACACTTCCTTTGTATGCTATGAATTTGAATAACTTGAGTTTTTTTTAGGATTCATATAAAACTGATGTTGAGTGAAATAAGTATTTAATGAAGTCAAAATGTGCTTGCTGTTTTGTTGAATTAATTCATTCGATGTATTAGAAACTATTATAGAAATGTCATCTGCATACATTGTAAAATCTGATGGGGATATTATGTGTCCAATGTCATTTATATATAACGAGCCTTCAAATAAAAACGTGGTCAAGTTGGTTCTGAAAACTTGGACGTAGGGCGTAGCGTACAGCAAATGAACTTAAACGTCATCTGTCAAAGCGCTATATCGCCGCTATCAATTTGAATATTTTCGTTTTAAAAAGCGTTTAAAATGGTGTTTTCTCAAGAACAAAAAGTGTTTATCATAGAGTCCTACTTTAGAAATGGACGCAAGATTGATGGAATATGGAAGTATTCTATTGAGGAATGTTTCATAGAATTTCAAAATCAATTTCCCGGCGTTGTTGAGTACAAAATTTTTCAAAGTGCAGTTCAGCGTTGTGTTAATGTTTTTCGTGAAACGGGCAGTGTAACAAGAAAAGAAGGAAGCGGCCGACCTAAAAAGCGGACTGAAGAATTAAAAGAAAATGTCCAACAAATAATGGAAAATGCGCCAAGAACTTCTGTACGTGTTTTATCACAAATGGTGGGAGTATCAGTCGGTACCTGCCACACAGTGTTAAAAAAAGATTTGCGTTTGTTCTCCTATCGTTTAACTTGTCAGCAAGAACTTCATGAAGTTGATTTTCCGCGACGGGCTGTATTTTGTGAATGGTTTTTAAACAACTACGGTGAACTTCATAATATCACCTTTTTTTCTGATGAAGCCTGGTTTCATTTAAGTGGTTACGTAAACTCACAGAATATGAGAATGTGGTCTTCTGAAAAACCAGATAACTTTTTTGTCGAGGGCCCTCTACACGCTCAAAAAATTGGAGTTTGGTGTGCTCTCAATCGAAGGAGGATTTATGGACCTATTTTTTTTAATGGTACTCTTACTGCGCAAAGGTATAGAGAAGAAATTATCGCTCCTTTTGTTAACCAGCTGGAAGAAAACGAAATTACAAACTTTTACTTTCAACAAGATGGCGCAAGGGCACATACGGCAGGCGAGACGATGAATATGTTGAGGGAAGTTTTCCAAAATCGACTAATAAGTCTCAATGCTGAACATGAATTTCCACCGAGGTCATGTGATATTACGCCGTGTGATTTCTTTTTGTGGCCTTACCTTAAAAACACTATTTTTGAACTGCCTATTCCTGATTTAAACCATCTGCAGGCTCGACTTATAGACAAGATTCGTGAAATTAACAATACCCCGAGCATCTTAGAAAATGTCTTTAATTCTTTGAGGAACAGGTGTGAAAAGTGCTTGGAACAAGGAGGGGGACACTTTCAGCAGCTGCTTTAATTTATTGTTATAACAAGGAGGGGGACACTTTCCGCAGCTCCTTTAATTGTTTGTTATTGTTATCACGATTATTCTTTAAAATAAAGTTATATAGTCATTAACGTTATTGAAACTGACAGCTGCTATACAGCTCGTTGAGAAATGAGGTTAAGTTGGTCGCTATAAGCTACTCCCTACGTCCAATGTGTCAGAGCCAACTTCGACCACGTTTTTTATTTGAACGCTCGTTAGAATAAAAAGTATGGGACCCATAACGGACCCTTGAGGAACTCCCATGCTATATCTACGCTCTTTGATGCCACACTTTTCATTACATGTTGATCTAAATGCTGCAAGCTTACATACTGTTTTCGGCCTTCAAGAAAAGTGTTTACCCAATTCAAGACATTCCTCTAATACCATAGTGGGACAATTTAGATATCAATAACTTGTGATCGACACAGTCTTAGCTCACAAAATATTCCAGCGGGAGAGTGTCCTGCTGGAATAAAGGAGTGCACGGCTGAAGTTGTCGTCGACATACCACTCCGAAACCCATGTTGACTTTTTGTAATTAAATTAGATTTTTCAAGAAAATTAACCAGTCTGTCTAAAAAATACTAAAAAATATTTGAAAAACCGAAGGATATAGAAACTGGTCTATAATTTTCTAATAATTGCGGATTCTGTTTTTTAAAAATGGGTACAATTTTGCCATTTCTTAATACATTTGGAAAAGTTCCCGTTTCAAATGATAAATTTATTATATACGGAAGTGGCTCGACAATAGCACACATTGACTGTTTTATTATGAAACTTGGTATATCATCAGGGCCCGTTGACTTTTTTGTTTTAAGTTTACTAGGTAACAGATTTGACATTTTATGACTTGTAAACGGTTTCAAAAATAAAGAGTGATTTATGTTATTTATATTATTGTTCACATTGCATGTTTGTATATGAGATTTTGGTGGAGACAAATTTTCTACAATATTTCGAGGAGCTTGTACAAAATACTCATTAAGTAATGCCGCCACAATTTCAGGTTGCTCATATATAGTACCTTCATTATTTATAATTATATTATTGGGGTTTATTTTCCGATTTGACAACTCAGTTATAACATTCCAAGCAGATCTAATAGGATTTACTGAATGCATTATTTTTCTTTGATAATAATTTATTTTGTATTTTTAATCAACCGGTTGTGGTTATTTTTTGCCGTATTGTAAATTGGAGTTAAAATTGGAAAAATCTTTTTCTGTGTTTAGGCTTCGTATATTTAATAACATTAAATTAGGATTGAATATCACTTTCTCTGAGGATCTCTCTTCACCCCTAGCGATAAAAAACGTTGAATACAAGCTCCATAAGGCCACAAATTTGGATCAATTGCTTTATTAAAATTGTCTTCTAGAACATTAACTTTAAAATAAGAGTATAATCGGGATGTTTTGGTTTTATTGCTTCGCAACTTACTTCAGAAAAATTTGGCTTCAACAATGCTACTAAATCTTCGCATGTGGTTTTCGTGTCAATCCTGCATACGTGGAGAGTAACAGTTCTGGGGACACCCTCGATGGACGTTGACTTCGTATTTCTTCCAGTAATTATAGATCTTCGACTATGTCGTCTTTTATTATTACGTACTTTTTGCCATTCATCATTCTTTGGTACGGCAGAAATTGAATTTGACAGGGGATTATCATTTTTATCGGATAAATTAATAATTTTATTCATTTTTAATTGACATTGTATTTGCAATATATCGGTAGCTACATCGTTCTTATTTATTAACTTAGAATTTTCCGGTTTGTTGATATTTTTTCAGATGGCCTTCTGTTAGTTACTGATTCATTTTTTAGGGATGTTTTATTTGAACTGTTTTTGTCTTTCATACACAAATTTATCACATTTGGTTTTTGTACAGCATCGTTTAACTTGGATATACCACTTGATTGATATTTATTCAATAAATCTATATGGTTATTTAATAATTTAATTTTATCACGCAGCTCGCTAATTATAATGTCTTTTTGTTTTAGGATATAATTAAATATATTTAAATCTACCTTTCGATCCTTATCAGCTACCTCTTCTATGGTATCAAGAAAAGCAGTGGTATCATTGTCACTTTGATACAAACTCTCACAACAAAGTATTACACTATCATTGATAAACTTGACATTGCTACTTAATTTGGCACAGCTGACGTGGTATAAACTATTCCAGTTTTCACATTTAAGAGAACTAACAACGTTTTTATTACATCTTTTACAGACTTTAATAGAAGCGTGACTTGTGTTCGCAGTCATGCTTTCAATACTGCTTTATTCTGAGAGATTAGAAAAATGCACTGACAAAAAGGTAACTTTACAAATATACTTTGTGTGAATATAATGATGATAACACAAAGCACAAATTTTGCTACAAAACGCTGATATACAATGATACTGTAAACATTCTACATATCTATGATAGTACATTGTACAAGTGACAATGACGTACTTAACTCTCACGTGTGATGTAATGTTTTGTCCAACAGTTGCAGTATTTTAATGTAGGAAAAAACTTGAAGAGATATTTTAAAAAATTAAGCAGTCAATTCTTGATTATCAACGTCGATCGTGATGGATAGTTGCTGATAAATAAAATTTTTTTTAAATTTTTAAATTTTAATGCCTGTAAAAGATCTGATGGAGGAGATTTTCGAGAAAACGACCCCCCAAACCCTCAAATAATTGTTTTTTTTGCAAATATGCTGAAGGTAACGGCGGAGAACCCCCATATTTTCGAACCCACTCAACACGAATCTGGAAAGGAGAGTGAAGACGAATAGATACCGTGGGGTGGAAAGAATCATCCGCAAAGGCTTAATCAGAGTGAGTTAAATGATATTATTCACAACTTAGGTTTACCAAAAGAAACGGAGCTATATATTTAGTTAGGGAACTGAAAAATCTTCTATCTGAAAGAACCAAATCTTCTGGTGTATCGATCACGTGAAACAAGTTTTTGGAAATATATTTTCTTCAGATGAAGAGAAGACGTTAGCGTATTCCGCCGACGTTAAAGGACTAATAAACGAGTTAAAACACAAAGTTTACAAAGACGACGAGTGGATGTTTCTCATTCACTCCTCAAAATGACGCTTGAAGGCAGGAGGAAAGGATGTTAAATTAGAAAAATGTGGATTGATGAAGATTTTGCACAGAAAATGATTGAAACTGTGAAGACTGCATGGCAAAGCATCAAAAATTTAAGAGAGAACTTTTTGAGTCACAAAACATAATAGAATAGAATAGAATAGAATAGAATAGAATAGAATAGAATAGAATAGAATAGAGTAGAATAGAATAGAATAGAATAGAATAGAATAGAAGTAAAGAACAAATAAATATATACAGGAAGTAACTTTGAATGATATTTATACCGAGGCTACCTTTGACCTTGAGCAACACATATTATAAGTTTGTTTTCTCAAATTCCGTTGTGAAAACTTGCGCATGCATACTGCGATATGAATTTTTGTTAAATCTCATAATTTAAAGGAAAGGTTACTAAAAAGCAAATTTTATTAAAATGTAAATTTCCACACCACCCGTCCGTGAAGTATCTACCTACTGCTCTTTCGCAGGTTACTTTTATTGGTTGGCTGTTCGCCACAAACCCTATCATCCCACATACACGAAAATTTAATTCTTTTAAATAAGATAGAGCATATAACAGACTTAAAATCTTGGCTAATCTTCGAATCCTGGTACCAGGATCCTCTTCCACGGTATTTAAAATTTCGGGTTCTCACCCTTTAATTTTTTAATGTTATAATAAAAACAGTGTCGACGTAACCGGTCATTAAAGCTTCGTCGAATTAACATGGCGATTTATTTTTTACCCCTTCACCATCCCGTCATATCATACCAGGTATGAAATCAACTGGCACTTTTCAAAGGCGGCAATACAGCATATTAACTGAACAGTGGAGGCTAACCTTCGTTGCATTTCGTAAGCATTCGGAACAATATCGATTATGAAATTGTTCACGATTTAATTTTTGTTTTGTTTAATTTAATTAATTTAATATCCAGTATCGATTGGCTTTGAACTGGGTGAATAGGAAAAAAAGAGTAGAAAAATACCGTATTATGTTTAGAAATTTATAATTTTTAATATTACTTATTTAAACTTTCCTAAATGTGTCCCTACCTACTTTATATAGTGTCAGTAGTATAGCTCAGCTAAACTAGGTTAATGTCATAGGGCAAATGCTACACTTCTTAAAAAACAGAAATAATAATTGTTTGTAAAAACTTGAAAATAATTTCAAATTCGTATTCAGGGGAAAAAAATTTATCTCACTTAAAGTTACACCCTGTATAAATTATTTCCAATGTAGTTCAATATCAAAACATAAATAAGAACATTTTGACAATATTCGATTACAAATTACATGTGTTTTCACAAAATGCATGTTTAGTTTCTATTTTATATTGCACTTTTCAAATGCATGTACCATACTTGTATTTTACTTTTTTGTATGAGAAAGCTTCTGTATAGAAATTTAATTCGAAATAACTATTTAATTCAAGGTTATTTCTTAGGCAAAATTGTAGAATACAAATAAATTTTAATCCTTTTGAGGAAACTCCATATTTATGCCGCTACTCTTTTCAGCTATAGTTCCACTGCTAAAATATGCTCTTAAAGTTATAAACACGAAAGAAACGTCATGTGAGGTTTACATAGATAATTATGAGATAATTGGTGACAGATTTTCTTTTAACTATATCCAGGTTCAGTATAAGGTAAGATTTTGTAGCAATTTATAGTGACAGTATAGGGTGTTAACAGTTTCAAATATTTATATGATTAAATATTTAGTGATAAAATTTGAGGGTTGACATTTCCTTAGTCGGGACTATTTCATGGATAACTTATTCCAAAATACACTCCAGTGGCGTGTAGTTATTGGGGTAGTAGGGAAGCTTTTGTGGAAAAAAATCGTACGCCACTGGTTTTTGAAATAATTTTAAATGTTTTTGAAATGTACAATCAATTATTTGTGACAATAAGTATTCTTGTAAAGTAATCTAGATAATTGGGAAATCAAATAGGTAAGAAGATACTTAAGTACCTACGTTGCTATTTATCATTTTCTATTGATTAATAAATGCGTAACAATAAATTTAATACCTAATATTTTTAGGAGATTTCAAAACACGCCACTGTTTTGTGTGTTGCAAAAAGTTTGTTATTTTTCATACAACTAAAAATAGATTTTAATTAAAAAAAAAAATATGGTATTCAATTATACAAATATTGAATTAGCACATACGCTGGAGCGAATGGCAATGGCAAATTTTTCTAAATCGACGTTGTCCAACAAGGAATACTTTTTCAAGCGTTCACCGTCGAGCTCGTGAAACTGCATGTTGTCTATTTTATCTGTATTGAAGACGTCTCAATAATGAAACGAAGCGTCAAGTTTCAGAAAAAAAATGTGTTTCGTTAAATTCACATTTGACCAAAAATTCCACCGTGCCAGCTACTAACCGTTATTAATAATTCTGTCTGCTAATTCTATAATTAATACCAAAAATATTTTGTCCTTATTACTGTTTCAATGTTACCGAATTTTTTAGAATTATAAAGAAATTAGTACCTTAGTATGTTTTTCCAAGAGGAATAAAGCTACTTGTCTTTATTTTGTAAAAGATATAATAAAATTAACTCAAATTCGAGTAAATATTATAAACAAGTCATCCTTGAACTAATCTTAAAATGAGCTCTACATGAAATAAAAAATTACATTGTAGTTACTACGTAAAATGTATTTCTAAATATCTTACAAGTAATTATAAATATTACCTTCTAAAAATGTTTTTTGTAATATCTTAATTCAAGATAATTTTACAATAGAACTTACATTTATTTGTAAAATTACAATCGATAATAAAATCATAGTAAAGGTACAATAAATTGCCATCTTATTAGAATTATTATTTTTTTCGATGTATAAGTTAATAGAATTATCGATAACAGTTCTTTGGCGCATGTTGTCGCTACCGAAACGTCGAGCAAGAGAAAGACTTGTTAGTACAGTTCATTTGGAAAATAGAATTTTGGAATCTGTAGATGAAGACCCATCTACCAGTACCAGACAGATATCAACAGATATGGGTGTATCACATGTAACAAACTGGAACGTCTTACGTGAGCAGCAATTACGCCCATATCATGTCCGGCGAGTTCATGCATTAAATGAAAACGACTATCAACCGAGGATTGAATTTTGTCAGTGGTTTTTAAGCAATGTGAACAGCCTGATTTTCAGTTATTAATATTATTTACCGATGAAGCGAAATTTACAAGGGAAACCATTTCGAATTGTCATAGTCATAGTAACCACCAATGGGCGGATGAACATCCGAATATTATTTCCCAACGTCGATTCCATGAATAGTTTTCTCTGAATGTTTGGCCAAGCATTGTGGACGATTACTTCATTGGTCCCTACTTTTTACCCAGAACCCTCGATGGTAGAACTTATCAAAGGTTCCTGCAAGAAGAATTGCCACCACTTCTAGAAGAAGTACCATTGAGGTTACGTCAATTGTTGTGGTATATGCATGATGGGGCGCCACCTCATTACAGTCTTACCGTTAGACAGTTGCTGAATAATCAGTATCCTAATCACTGGATTGGTAGAGGAGGACCCATTGCTTGGCCGGTTCGTTCCCCCGACCTTTATCCCTTGGATTACTTTTTTGGGGTTACCTCAAAACTATAGGTATATAGTACTCCAGTTCCCAATGCAGAAGTGCTTCGACAGCGCATTGTAGAGGGTTTCGCAATCATACACAATACGGCTGGAATTATGAGGCATGTAAGATGATCAATGTGGAGACGCTGCGCGGCATGCATTTTGCATTTTGAACATTTTTTGTGATGTATACTGTTTTGAAATATGTCAAAAGTATTAGGTATTGAATTTATTGTTACACATTTAGCAATCAATAGAAAATGGTAAATAGCAACGTAGGTACTTAAGCACTTCTTATTTGATTTCCCAAATAGCTAAAGACAAGTAAATTTTACGAATACTTTACAAAAATACTTCATTGCCACAAATTGATTGTAAATTTAAAAAACATTTAAAATTGTATCTCCGTAGGGAAGCGTTCTATCAAAAACTGTTATAGGGCAAAACTTGATTATTTTCATTGGTAGAATACGCCATTAAAGTTTGGCAAAACTTATCATTAACACCCTGTATAAAAAATTATTTTAGGACGTAGCTCATAAATAAGATTATATTTTTTTGTTTATTTTTTAGTCATGTAATAAGAACATTAGACTACAGTTTTTAATATAGAGTTTATGATTAATATTTATTAGATTTCCAAATTATTTCACCCATTTATGTTACTGCAAATAATTATAATTTTGTGCCAGATTTTGAATGCTTAGACATTTTTTGACAATTCTGTTTATTACGCTAGGTGTTTCTGTTTTTGAGTTATAAGGTAACATGAGTCTTAACTCTAGAAGTAGTTCAAGTATAGTAATATTTTTGCGTAACGCAAAATGTTAATAGAGTTTTAATATCAGGTCATACTTTGTTTTTGACATTTTTTTAATTTGTAGTAAACCAAATTCATTTAAAGAGGTTTATCGGGTACGGAGGTACATCTAAAGTCTAATGAGAGTTTCTGTAGATTCGCTAGTGACTAAAGTAGTAAGCCTTTAGATTTGTCAACGTTGCACTTGGCTGGCTCGCTCGCCTCGGTGTTCGCTCGCTCGCGTTCGATCAATCTGTTTGCTTGGACTCCTGCACATTTCAAATAATACACTACGTCTAGACCGCGGCGTTGCCACTATCACGCATATGGAGGATAAGTTAGTCAGCAACAGCAATTTGAAGGAGAATTATTATAAATTATGTATCTTACAAGTACCAAATATTTCTACGAGCTATCATACGGTTTCTTAGATATCGGTTTCCTATTTATACAAGTTGCTGTGGAAACTGTTCGTCAATTGTTGCGCATTCTAAGTAGAAAGACCAAAAATCTGCATTCTCATAAGACTTCGTACTAAATAATGAAAAATTATTTTATTAATATCTCGTCTCTTAGGTATCCAAACTAGTCATAATTTTGTTTGCGGATTTTCTTCATATCAATAAGCTTTTTTTATGAATATTTGTTTGTCAATTCCAAATCAGATAAACCTCCTTAAGCTGTACGGGTAGGATGCGCAGTAGCAAGAAGACTATACCTTTACCATGGATTACCTGCCAGTTGTATCTTTATTTGTGTCCCTTCTCATCCTGCCTTGTAATTTGGTTTCTACTTTTAATGTTATAGAAGAGACTATTCGTCAAAAATAAATTGTTAGTTTTTGCTGTAATCTTCTTTTTGTTTATATTATACTCTTAATAATTCCATTTTTAATAAATTCCGTACAAACATATGTAAACTGTATCGCTAAGATAGATTTAAGTGATTAATTACTAATGTTATATACGACTTTCTCCCATTTTATTTTTACTTTTTTGGAAATTGGAGGATTTCGTCATAGCAAAGTGGATGAAAAGTGAAAATATTTTATTTTTTGTAATAATTATAATATTTTCAGGAAAATAGTAGCGATAAATGGATTTCCCATAACGAAACATCCTTTAGTGCCATACAGTCATTACGTGAAAAAATTTCTAATTTAGAGGCGGACACCACGTATTGTGTTCGAGCTGTACTATACTCAAATAAATCCAACTTTTATCAGGGCCATATAAAAGAAACATGCTTTAATACAACTTGCATTCGTAAGTACTTAGTTTAAATTTGAATTTAATAATAATAAATTTGACAAAAGAATATGAAAAAATTAATCAGGATTGGATTCACAAAAATAATTAAAAATTTGTTTTTGACGTTTTTCTTGTTTTTTCATAAAATTGAAGAAAAGACGTAAGAAAACAAATGAATAGCAAACCAGGACCACCATTTCCATATTTTTAAGTAAATAAAATCATTAAATTCGAGATGTGATCATATTATCTACTATTTAAGCAGTAAAATTATACGAATAATCTTTAGCACCTTTTTGGATCAAAATTTTTAATTTGATATTAGTGCATGTATGTAGAATCTCAATAATGGAAACTTAATGTATCTTTTATTAATTTTCAGCATATAAACCTGATGATATTATTATCACTACGTCCGACACCAGTGCTACTGTTGAACTGTTGAAGGTAAGACATAGGTATCAATTATGTGTTGTTTTCTATACATATATTGTTCCAAGTTATTAACAATGTTAATGAATAACAAGTATTTTTAAGTGAATCGGAACATGAAACTTATAAAAATGTATGCCGTGATGGGCTTAGTTTAAAACAAAATATTACATTTAATATTTGGTATTGTTATATGTACTTTTCTTTGTATTCGACAAGCAAAATTCAAATAACAAGCCCCCCACACAGAGTCTAGCCCGGGAACAACAAAAACAGATAAAAAAAATTCTAGCTAGCGATTGAAAAAGCGTAATACTAGACCAGATACACAGGCAACAACCTCAATACCATGATTTCAATACATTTTAGAACAAATGGGTAGATTTTCGCTTTTTTCTTTAGGCATTACCCAGTAACGTCACAGGATAGAGATAAAGGAATGTTTACATTTATAATTTAATAGGAATTTTAATTTAAGGAGTACAATATTTTCAAAGATCTCTTTGTAGAAATCAGAAAGTTGTCAAACAAGTAAATATAAATATAGTCTGGATGCTGATAAAGAAAGGAAAATGGAAGACGTAATAGTATTAACCGATTTACAACCGCTTCAAATGTATACTTTTAACTTACGACATGTTGTACATGGAAATATATCAATAAAGTTTCAGGTCACTACAGAAAGTAAGCAAGCCTAGTGAAAAATCTGGCAATTTTTTGTATTATTGATAACTTATATTTCAGAGCCACCTTATAATGTGATAGTAACATGGACACATGATAAAGACATGAACATTTCTTGGAACAATCCCAATATCACCAAGTGGAAAATTAAAAAATTTAGTGTCAATATTGTGAGCGACCATACCATAATATTTTCAAGGATATCGAAAGACTTAGAATGTACCTGCTTGGTAAAATATATGTTGTGTTTTATTTATTACAAAATTTTGTATAAAGATTCTAGTTTTACCTGAACATCAGAATTCGTTAAATAACTAAAAACTTTTGTTAACAGTTGATAAGAAACCAGTTTGGAGCAATTTAACATTTTTATTTAAACTTTATATGTATTTCCAATATCAAAAGTACGTGCATATTAATCCCATTAATCTCGCCATCTATCAAATGTGTTCACATAAAACGTATATTTTGCCTTTTTAAAACAAAGATTCCTTTTAATTACAGATCGAGAAAAAATACTTCAAGCCATGTAGAAAGTACGATGTGAGTGTAGCTATTTACAGTGAAAAATATTCAAGGACATATAATATCGAAAAATGGAGTGCTCCACCTGTTCCTGACATTTCTGAAGATGCGATCAAAATAAGTCATACAAATAACATTATAGTAATTTATATTCCAAGGCCAACAAATTTGGAACAAAATTTAAGGAATTGCTCTAGAAAATTGCATATTTTAAAGTCGCTGTGGCAAAATAATGAACATATCAATAAGACCATAAATGATTTCGAACACGCCTTAAAAAATTCCCTACCACTTCCAACTTTTAATAATGTTAGACGAATATATGAAATAAATGAGGAAAATTTACCGTTTGAGTTTCCTATAAAGGATGATAGTGTTACGAAATATCGGTTGCACCTGCTTTTTATTAACGAATGTTTCGGGCAGGTCCAGTTAAGAAGAATTCAAAAAGACCTCTATCCTGGGGAACGAGTTACCTTGGGGAATGAAAATTTAGAAGGTATCGATATTGCCAACTACGTATTCCTTGTATCAATGTTACTACTACCATCAATACCATTTATGTTCATGTAAGTGTGTCTTGTTATTACATTGACAATTGGAAATAGTCTGAAAAGACTGAATTTATAAAACAACTAAATCATTGCTTCAAAAATTTAGACCCCTAAAAAGATACATCCTTTTTGATATTCTTTTAGTCAAAAATATTCAAAGAAATGTTGAAGCTTTGTAGATTATGGAAATCAAGCATTATTTGATTAATAGTCAAAAGAACATAAATATATTTCTAATTATTGTCTTTTGGGGGTCTGTCGCTTGGAAAATTAAAAAATAGGGGATATTACAGAACACCACTTTATAAATTCTAGGGAATCAATAAAATAAAAATTAATAAAAAAATAAAAATGTTTCCTTTACGTTTATTTTCGATATACAGGGTAGGGTGTTAATGATAAGTTTTGCCAATATTTAATGGAATATCCTACCGATGAAAATAATCAACTTTTGCCGTATACAAATTTTTGATAGGACGTTTCCCTACGGAAATACAGGGTGTTAAAACTTTCAAATATTTATCTGATTTTTTCTGTAACTTTACCGGTAAAAAATATTTAGTGATAAAATTTGGGGGACGACATTTTTTTAGTAGGGATTATTTTTTCATGGATAGCTTATCCAAAATACACTCCAGTGGCGTAGTTATTGGGGGAGTGGGGACCTTTTTAGTTGTTTGGTTTTTTAAATAATTTTAAATGTTTTTAAAATGTATAATCAATTTGTGGCAATAAAGTATTCTTGTAAAGTATTCGTAAAATTTACTGGTCTTTAGATGATTAGGAAATCTAATAAGAAGATCTGCGTTGATATTTACTATTTTCTATTGATTGCTAAATGTGTAACAATAAGTTCAATACCTAATATTTTCGAGAGATTTCAAAACACTATGCAACATCACAAGTCATTCTATGTTAAATCACTGAGGTCCTGACCCGACCATTTTGAATTTTCTTCAATTTTTGCTAAACTTATTTTTTAATTTTGCTCGTTTTGAGATGTAGTTTTACGAGTATAAAAAAATATATAAAAATAATACAAGTTTGGTTTTTTTAATTTTTCTACCAAAAAAGGCTCTTTGAAAAAATCGTCAAAAAAATCGCTTATATGACGTAAGTTGAAAATACACGTTTTAGATACACTGTTCACTTCACTAGTTTTGTTTGAACTTTTTTTTGTTATTACCATGGCAATGCCAGTATAAAATTTTTAAATTGTCATAACCTCTAAACGCCTTAATCGATTTCAGTAAATGAGGGCTCATTTTAAAGAACTATTAATAAAATTTATATTTATGATATGGGAATAAAAATATTATTTTCCTGTGCAACGGTAGACGACGCTAATTACAAAAGTTTTGTAATCGTCTCCGTTTACTAAAAAAATATTAAATGCATCGATATATTTTTTTCCATGGGTTGATAAACCGTTTGTTAAGGAAAACAAATACACAAATCGGATATCGATACCTTTTGTTTTCAAGTTATTGGTAGATAAAATAGTGAAGTTGTGCCAGAACATCCTCCTTTATTTAGTTCTCTAAATTACATTAGTCCAAACCAAAATTAAATTGTAAAACTATACCAAGCTTGTCCTTAAAACGTATTTGTTTTATTTTGAAATTTTTTTAATATGTATGTACAATTTATAATTTTTTTTATTGATTCCAAATATCTGAGTATTTAAAAAGATTATTTAATTGTTTCCATAACGAGGTAGGCCATGTCCTATGAAAATAGACAACCGAATTTTTTGTGTTTTAATTTTTACAGATAATGTACACTATTAAAGAACATTTTTTTGTAGAAGTAAATCGTGAAGACTAATGACTAAAAATTCCATATTTTTAGAACTACTTCTACTAATATTGCCATTTATTAAAAAACAATTTCAAATTTGGTACTTTTATTTTTCAACGCGGGAGTGGCTCTATTACTCCCACATCCACTGGAAGATTGGCACCTGAAGGTCGTTTGGTTTATGTACTATGTAAGACCTCACAAATGTGTGAAAATCAGCCTTGGTATAGTCTTTCCGAAGTCAGTTGAACATGTAAAAAACGCCTAGCAATAAAATTTAATGAGTTTTATAGGCGCCCCTAAAAAAGTTTTCCGATAAAGGTAAAAAATTTTAATAATGTGCAGAAAATTTCTATTATATGTTCATTTGGCCAACAACATATTTTAATTATTTATGTCCTCAAACAATTTTATTATATTGATGGTAAATTTCGTTTTGTTCCGTATCAAAAGATCTCCAAAATGCCATGTTGTAATAATATTATTTCTGCCTTTCGCAATTGTAATATCAATGATAGAAGGTGCCTATAATAAATTAAAATTACCTGAAGCACACCAAATTCCGCATTGCTGCACTGCACTGCTAGGCAATTTGTCGACCACTTGTCAACGGCTGAGATTTATGGCCAGTGGCCCAATGCAACTGTATTTGTATTTCGTTTGCCCGCGCTCGCATTCTTCAACTGGACGTATACCTACATTTCTACCACCACGTTTAGTTCGACCAGACCTTTATATGGGTATAGCTAAATAAATATGGGACCAAGTTTTTTAAAAATTTCAATGCCGAGTTGCTGCGTCAGCAACCGAACCTGGTACATGCTGTCATGCTTTTGGTTCTTCAATTGATATCGGAAAGACTATAAGATGACAACCCTCAAAATGCCACGGCCTCTCGGACTATAACTGCCGACGACTAGGTACATAAACCATGGCACAACAACTCGAAAAACAATAATTCTTTGTATTACCTACACGGTTTACAAACAGAATTTAAAACAAGTTCACTACAAAATCTCGTAAATGAATTTTTGTCTCATGCGACGATATGCAGTGTCATCTTTTTAACGTCACAGTTTGTGTCAATATACTAACACTTTTTAATATACCCTGCACTCTTATGTTTTAGCTTTGCAATGATTTGGAAACACGAGATTAAGGGAAATTGTTCAAAAAAGACTAAACAACGTAAGTACTTATACTTATAACTATAAATAAAGTAATTGTATATAATATACAATAAACTACATAAGTGTAAAACATTTAAGGGGGTGATTTCTCATCGAAAAAAAGATAGGATCTTTCATATAAAGAAACTTCATTGGAGCATCCTTTGTTAAGATGTAGCCCCTTAAAGGGGGTACATAAAATTTGTTTAACAATTTTTTTCACAAGCACTAAACAAGTTACAATATTGAAATTAACCTGACATTTTCTACTACCAAAAAGACACCTAGCCAGTAATTTATTTGGTTTACCCCATGGTTGTAAGGGGTGGAAAACGCAACCCCTAAAATTTATTTCCAACGTAATTTTTTGTCTTATTATTTTTTTACCATTTAAAAATTTATTTCCGATAGCCTGTTTCATTCTAAAAAAAAATGTCTCTTGAATTTTTTGCCCAAATTAAACCAGTTCGCAGCAAAAAATTATTTTACGAACAAGATACATATCGCCATAAAACGAAAATACGAAACTAATTTATCTAGTAGGCCGCCATTAGCGATACTGACAATTAAATTGGAATCAAGCTGTCAGTTTGTAAATTTTTGAAATTGAAGTAATACTAATTGTGTATTGTTCTGTTCTTAATTTGTTACTTTAATAATTCACTTGTTATTAAAATGGCATACACAAATGAGGAAATGGCTGATATGCATTACGTTTACGGTCTGTCGCAGGGGAATGGGTTAGAAGCTTCTACAAGATATGCTGAAATGTATCCTCAACGGCAGCATCCTTCACATAGAATATTTGTCTGACTTCATCAACGATTACGTGAATATGGTTCATTCAACAAAAGAACGCAGGATTGTGGTCGCCATCGAGAAGTAAGAACACCACAGCTTGAGGCAGCAGTACTTAATTTGATAGAAGAACAACCTACTACCAGTACTAGAAAGATTGCTTTCCAGCTAAATGTTGATCATATGACGGTATTTCGAATTTTAAAGGAACATCTCTTATACCCTTACCATCTGCAACGAGTACAGGCACTGTTACCGCGAGACTTTCCGAACCGTCTTGAATTTTGCAATTGGATGCTGGAAATGATTAGAAGAAATCGTGACTTTCTGAAGACGATCGAATTCACAGACGAATGTAGTTTTTCTCGGGACAAGATTATTAATTTTCATAATTACCACATATGGGCTGATGAAAACCATCACGCTATTGTCGAAACTAACCATCAAGAACAGTTTTCTCTTAAGGTGTGGGTCGGAGTTATTGGGGATTATTTAATTGGGCCTCATTTTCTACCTCCTCGATTAAATGGTGAGGCATACGTTCAATTTTTAAGAAAAGTGCATCCCCCCGTACTGCTGGAGGAAGTTCCTTTGGGCGTCAGAAGGGATATGGTTTTTATGCATGATGGGGCTCCCGCCCATTTTAGTCAAGTAGCACGTCAGCATTTAACTGAAACATATGCAAATCAGTGGATAGGTCGAGGAGGACCACAGAATTGGCCCGCTCGATCCCCGGATCTCAATCCTCTGGATTTGTCTACTTGGGGCCATTTGCAGCATTTGGTTTATCGTACTCCTGTTCGCGATGTAGAGGACTTAAGAAACCGCATTATCGATGCGTGCAGGGTAATTAGAGAGACTCCAGGAATATTTGAGCGAATACGTGGCTCAATGCGCCGACGTCTAGACGCATGCGTAATGTCTGAAGGTAGACATATTGAACATTTACTATGATTTCTACATGTTGTATGTTTTGTTATTATTAAATTAGTTTTGATTATTCCCCTTTAATCATTTAATGCAGGTAGTAACTACAAAATAACAGTAAATCCAGTCCGCATTTATGACGATGTATCTCTGTAGTTGTTCGTAAAATAATTTTTTACTGCGAACTGGTTTAATTTGGGCAAAAAATTCAAGAGACATTTTTTTTTAGAATGAAACAGGCTATCGGAAATAATTTTTTAAATGGTAAAAAAATAATAAGACAAAAAATTACGTTGGAAATAAATTTTAGGGGTTGCGTTTTCCACCCCTTACTACCATGGGGTAAACCAAATAAATTACTGGCTAAGTGTCTTTTTGGTAGTAGAAAATGTCAGGTTAATTTCAATATTGTAACTTGTTTAGTGCTTGTGAAAAAAATTGTTAAACAAATTTTATGTACCCCCTTTAAGGGGCTGTATCTTAACAAAGGATGCTCCAATGAAGTTTCTTTATATGAAAGATCCTATCTTTTTTCGATGAGAAATCACCCCCTTAAATGTTTTACACTTATTTAGTTACACCTTGTATAATACATAATGAAAATATTTTACAATGAAGCACTTAGTTCAGTGTTGACATAATGCAAAGAGAATAATATCGGTATATAATATCGGGTTGAAAACTATTAGCAAGTGTTGCATATACAAATAGGCATAATACAGTAGCTAAAATTATACATCTGGCAATAGCATCACAATGCCAACTGTATTAGACCCATATTATACATACCTACACACCACAAACAATACTAGAGAACAAACATTATAAATTAAATTGTGATCCGATTATACGCACTTACAAGACAATAGCACATAACAGATCGGATGTAATATTTCAAAATAAAATGGAAAATGGCACTTATACAGGGTGTTCAGTTCGAGTGAATCAAACTTTAACCACAAATATAACTCAATAAATAAGCATATAACGAACTGATTCAAATTTGAATCAATTTGTTATAAGCATAGCAAAGATTTCATAAATAATATGATTTTAATAACCAACCAATACGGCCCTGTACAGTGAAAACGGTGCGACTTAGACCCTTGCTTTGATAAGGCAATTCTGAATTATTTATTGAGTTCTATTTGTGGTTAAAGTTTGATTCACTCGAACTGAAACACCCTGTATAATAATTGATATACCAACACCATCTGACCAAAATTTAATAAAATAGTACTCAGAAAAAAAAAAGAAAAATATCAAGAACTGGCCATTGAGATCGAAAGAATTTGAAAACAAAAACTTTCGTTTATTATATCAACTACAGGTATATATTACACCACACTCGATCAATAAACGTCTTGCACAAATCAATTTATATTCATACTACTGCACAAAAAGCAGCATGTAATGTAACATGAACTTTTTTTAATCAAAAATAAACTTCCGATGGACTTGGATTTAACCAAGAGAAATAATAATAATATATTTAGGTAGCCAAATAAATCAATCGTTATACAAAATTTGCCAACGATTTAAATTAATTTTGCTTTGTCCCTAAAGTCCTCATCAAATGAAGTCATAAATACTTTTTATATCAGATCTCTATATGAGTTCCATAACTAAATTAATGATAATGTTAAGATTGCTTTTAGAATGAAGTTTGAGATAAAAGTAGGTAGGTACAAGAATTGATGAAAAATGTGTAATTTAAAAAATCTAATGTATTTTTCATGTTGCAGCAAATAAGGATATTGAGGAAATACCATTGAGTGACATCAACGAACCCCAACCCAGTACAAGTACGGCCCAACTCGTAAGTACTTGTTTATATGTCAAGTCCCTAACTTCAACCAGCATCATTTTTTAATTTGACACTAAATTTGAACGTATTCAGATATACGTATAGTCGTAAAATAGCTATGATACAGTAGTAGCAATATTTAGGTAATAGGCTTATTGTAGAAGCTGCATTCATTTTTGAAAATTTTAACCTCTCACTGAAATAAATTGTATGAGTAAAATTGTTACAAAATCAGTTGATCATATAAAACTTGATAGTACCGAACCCTGACAATCAAAGAATAACTTACTAAAACTTATTTTTTTCTCCAACAGCGTTACTGAAGGAAACAAGGACCAACCCAATGGTAGTTTTTTTTTCTGAAATTTGTAATCGCACATAAGTAAAAGAATTGCTCAGGCAATCAACTGTATTTTGTCGTTTAAATATAATTAAACCAAACATTAATCAATACATATTTTGTACATTTGATGTATGTTCCTTCTTAATTTAACAAAATACTTTTCTTGCCTACATTTTATTTTTATTCAGATAAAAACAAACATTGTTTAATGTAATATATATTTTAATCAAATTAATAGTAGATATAATATTTAATATGAAAAATCAAAATTATTATTACATATGTATACTAAAATAAAGAGGTGCTTAATTTTTTTATATGAGTTTTTTTGACACTGTAAAAAAATCACTCAGTTTCATGTCATATTGTACCTTACAGATACGTAAATAAGTGTAGGTAACAATCTAACTATCCGTTTATTTAACCAAATACTAATCGAGACTGAATATATAATTGTTTTTAATTATTTTAATCAAACCACTACATTTAAACACAATTGGCATCAAAACTACTAAGCTAATTCATACAAATACAAAATATTTTTCTAAAAAATCTTACCAAAGAAAATCAAATCACGTTCTTGGATACCAAAAATTCTTAACTATTGATATTGCGAGAAACAACTAGTGGTATCGAAGAACATTGTTCGACTAAAATAGTCCGGTCAAAATAGACATATCAAATAACGAAAATTCCGACAGAGCTAAATTTTGGTGGAGACCTTGGGTACACCATTAGAAATAAAGTGTCAAAAGTCCCCATCGATCCCATGTGTGCTAAAATTTGAGGTTTTTTGGATTTTTTTCGAAAACGGTAAGTTTTATCAAAAAAGTATTCCTGATAAAAATTATAGATCTTAAAATTATCTACAAAAATGGTCGTTATACTTTTTTTCTGAGAATAACCATTTCTGAGATATCGCGATTCTAATATGTGAAGGAGTCACGTTCTACATGATATGCACATATTTCCACCTGTGAGGTAGTGTACTTTGGCGCGTTTTTTGTTTTTTTTAACGTGGTTTCCGCGGTAGGCCTACTCCACGAACTGTTATGACGGAATTTTCAGGGACAATACTCTTTTAACTGCATGATGATTTATTGATATTGGTTATCGACTTTAACTGTAGTTCTGATTTATTTTGATATTTTAATCTGATTCATACTCTTCAAAGTCGACTTCAACAGTCATGTCTTCTTCGATTTTTTCTTCTTCTTTTTCCTCTTCTTCTTGCTGGATGTCCATAAATTGTTCAAATGAAGATGAATCAGCTGTTTCTTCATCGAAATCACATGGATCTTCGTCTGTTGTATT